TGCGTAGAAAAACAGGCGAAAAAAGTATTAGGCCTAGGGGAAAATAAACAAAAACAGTCTTCGAACTAGGGACAAAAAGCTAATCCGATTGGAGTATTTGAGTGGATCAACCGTTCGTCCGGCGAGGTGCAACTGTAGGGACTAACGGTTGCCCAGTAAGGTGTAAATGTGGAGATTAACAGTTGCCCTATAAGGTGCAAGTGTGAGGACGAAATGTTAGTCTTTTGAGGTGAATTGTGGGACTAATGGTTACCAACTAATGTGTATATGTGAGGACTGAGTGTTAGTCCCTTGAGCTCGTCTGTGGGGACTAACTGTGAGACCCGGTGCCGTTCGTCCTTAAAGGGATTAATGGTTGTGGCAGCCCCATTAGCGCCCAAAGCATGGAGGAAGGAAAAAACTGAGGAGAGGTCGTTACGTCACATTTTGTGAAGCCGGAAGTAGGGAAGAGTAGGAGGGCTCCTCCTCGCACTTGTGGGCACGCTCGTCTGGTTGCTAGGAGACGATATCACGTTGCGCTGGCCAGAGCGCAGGGACATCGCCAGCTGACCGAGCCGGAAAGCGATACATCTGTTGCATCGGCTAAGGAGCTGCGATGCCCTCGATTAAATGGGAAACAGGTGTCAGCTTCCACAGGTGAGTGTATTGAACTTTATGTTCGACGTACGGTATGATCGGGAGTATCGTCGCAGAACGTAATGCACGATACTTCATGCGTCTGCGTAGTGTTCCTGGGGTATATTTACGGCTCATGGTGACAGTTCTTGAACGCAATAAAACGCAGCGCAATTAACCACAACGCTGACGACACGGGGCAGCTAGCACCGAAGTTTCTTTTTTCGTTCGCTTTGTCCGCGACGTGATATCACTGTGTTTCAATTTATTCATGAATAGTTGTCTCTGTGTCAATAATGTCCGCGAATTCGCGTATATTTATAATTGCTTTAGTGCAGGTTTCCCAAAGATCCCCGTCGAAAGAGGCTATGAATCGAGCCAACACGACTGGGAACCAACGAAATGGTCTTTTGTGTGCTTAAAACACTTCCCACCTAAGCACTTCAATTGGGCGGCGCCAGTGGCAGTTCGCCTTCGCGAGGGTGCCGTTCCTGCTGCCGTGAGAAACCGCAACGACGCGCGCGCTGCAGATTTAAATGCCCAACCTTTATTGGATATACATGTAAATTGACTGCATGCTGATACGTCGGTATATTGCCCAGGCGAGTGTACAGGAAATGGAACAAAGCTTTAGTGAGTGCAAGCGTTGCTATTGAGTTTTTCGAATAAACTTCCAGTTACGCGCTTCAAGTCAATTGAGCTGAATGCAAGAAACAAACTGTGCAACTCGGCAGGGTAATCACCGTGGACTTTTTTTTAGGTGAACTGGTAAGTTAAGGGTACGCGACATAATTTAACAGTGCCATCTGCATTGGCCTTCTTCCATAGAAGCATGTTGCACCTTCACATTATCCCTTGCATCTGCGCGTCATAACATTTGCACCTTAGAGTTTCATACAACCGCACCAACGTGGCAACACTTCAGTCAAGCTACAGTGGAGCGGGGCGGTCGTTTGGGTACGACCGCTTCGAAGAGAACTTCGGCCCATATAAAACAACCTCACACAAAATGCAATGAAATCTGAAGACATCAAACAGCTTCGCAAATCGCCTTCTTGTGTCAAACACAATTTGGTTAGGCGCGTCTTTCTGCTCTTGACAATGCAGCCTTCAGTGAGAGCACCGGGCCGATGCTTTCCAATCGTCACCGTCACGCACGGAAACGGGTCACCACTGTCTCCAACGTTAAGAGCTGCCGGAGGTGTCGTTCTGTTCTCGGAAATGTATCCTTTCATCGCGGAGGAGTGCAGCGGCACGGTGTCGAAGGCAAACAGCGAAGTCTTCTCGGAGAAGCTGTCGCGGACTTCGAAAAACCCTTGCGATGGCACGCTGAATGCTGCGCACGAAACCGTGACGACATACTCACTGTAGGATGAACTTCTAAAACCTTACGTCATCCGCGAACGCAACGACCTCATAGAAATGCAGATTCACAGACAACAAGCCGATCAAAGGTGTGATTTGCCGACGGGGCCAAACTGGTAGGTGTTCTGTGACGGGGCCATAACGAGGCATCGACGGCGTGCCCACGTTGCCATAGCAACCATTGCGAAAGAGCACGTGACTTCCGCCACACTTTTTTCTTTGCCGCTTGGATAGCGAGGGCCTCTCCTCAGTTTCCCTTCCTCCATGCTCCAAAAGGACGAACCGTACACCCTTTAAACACCTTTTTGCCTTAGAGTGTATGGGATCTTCGCGATCATGGCACACCACGCTACATTACCCGAAGTTGTGAAGTAATGAAACATTGATAGACCAACATTAGCAATAGGAAAATAATGCTCCAAAATGAATGAACATAGTAGTATCGGTTACCACCTTTTTCTTAAAGCCTTTAAAGGTTATACCCATTGGTGGTAACGGCTAGGGTAGTGACAGTTACTAAATGCTGGTAGTAACTGTTACCACCCTCGCCGTTACTAACTGCGCTTACTACCAGGGTTGTAACGTATGTGACAAACCATTACTACCTCAAAGTTAGCAAGTACTACTACCTTTTTTCTAAGAGTGAAGGCGTTCGCGCATCGAGCGTGAGGCGAGCGCCTACGCAACGGGCACTTCAACTTGGCACATAATTATGAGTTGCTGGAAATCATTTCTGCTCAGATGACGCAGCTGTGCCAACAGACACGCGACGAAATAATTGCAGAGGGTGACAACGATTCGGTTTATAAAACCACTGCATGTTCTCCCCACCTGGTTTGTTACTTTCGTACTGTGTCGCGCAAGCAGGATCTGTTGGTTCCTTTTAAATGCGAAGCGTCCCATAGCGAACTTCGGTGACTTTGAGCGTAGGTATATCTATCTATCAAGCCGCCTACGACTTTTAGCTCTCCTGGCCGTCTCGCTCATGGTATCGATACCGAAATTGATACGGCATAACATGACTGTATGACGAGCAAAAGTAACAAATCATAACATGAAAATTATGGCATGTATGTCATGATTTACATATCATGGTCTTGCTGCTCTTGTGGTGGTCTAGTTCTCATGACATGTTGCAGAACTGGTATGGTATGACACGACTGCATGGCGAACACAAGCGACAGACCCTAACCTGAAAATCATGACATTCATGTCATGTAACAACATGACTGCATGCCACACTCATGATGCGTTCACGGCCGTTTCGCTAGCTTCACATATACCACATATGGTATTACAGGACGAGAATTAATGACAAAGGTATGTGACTGATGCAAACATAATAATCATGAGATGCGTGTCGCGTAACAATATGACTACATGCCACGCTCATGATGCGCTCGCGGCTGTTTCGCTAGCTTCGCATATACCACATTTGGTATTACGGGACGTGGATGAATGATGAAGGTACGTGACTAATGCAAATATGATAATCATGGCATGCGTGTCATGTAACAACATGACTTCATGCCACACTCACGATGCGCTCACGTCCGTTTAGCTAGCTCCACCAAATTTGGTATCACGTGGCATGAATAAACGATGACGGTGAATGACACGTCCAAACATGATAATCATGGAATGCGCGTCATGTAAAACTTGACTACTATGGTCATAGCACGCTCGCGGCCGTTTCGCTAGGTCCACACACACCAAATTCGGTATCAGGTGACGTGAATAGATGACGAAGATAAATTACACTTCCAAACATGATAATCACGACATGGATGTCATGTACGGCATAATTTACCTCCAACTCGTAACTGTGCTAATTTTAAAGTGACATGTCAATCTTCCTTATTCGTGCTTCGCATGTCATCGATTCCCACTGTACGTGAACGGGATCTGCCATTTTTTTTTCTCATGCCTCGTCCGCACTTACATCACTTATAAAGGCGCACAGCACAGCGCATGTCGCAATATATAACCAAGATTCACACGTTTCGACACCCAACACACTCACACACGCACATGCGACTGCGCTGATGCCATGGCGGGTGGTAAGTCACAGAAGCACACATTCCACAAAACACAAATGCGCACATTCAGACTTCACCTTCAACTTGCTGTATACAAATGATGCCGACGACAATCGTCGAGGGAGGCCACCCTCAGGCGATGTTTTTGATGCACCCGAGTGAAGCAGAAATCGACGCCACGTTGGTGCTTCATGCTGCCGAAACGACGGAATACGATGAAGCTCTGCCGCTTGGGTGCACTTTAAGCGCTGCAAAATCAAAAACGTCAGCATCGAATAACGGACGGCGAGTAGGATGCCGAGTGCAAATGGATGAAATAGCTGCTTAGCGAAGAAAACACCACAGCAAACCTGAATGGCTGCCTGCCCGTCTCGGTGCAGCGGCATCGCCTCTCGTCAGAGAATACTCAAAGTTGAAAAGCTCTCGACGATAGTTAGAGCACGAGAACAGAACGACGACAAAAAGACAAGAAGGACACGTCGTTCTGTTCTCGCACTATAACTATCGTCATGTGATACCAACTAGCCCAAACTGCCACACTTGCATGGAATACTCTTGTCGTGAACGGTGCCATGCTGTATTTGTCATTTTTTCATCGTCACTGTTGCGTCATAGTAAAGCGGTCGCAGTCGGACGCGCATAATACAAATGGACAGCGGTGTACTTTTTATTCTTCGCTAGTTAAACACGTATTGCTGATGAACGCGTAATAGCCTCGGAACAAATCGAGTGTGTTACAGCATGAGGCTTAATCAGAGATGTGCGGAAGTGTGTTTATTCTGAAGTGGAAGGGGGCCGAAAGGAATGAGAATATGTTCCCCGTACGAGCCTCCCCTACAGCGCTCTGTTCTTCTCTCTTATGACCACGCTGTTTTTTGACGATGAATCGCCTGAGGAGAGGGGGATTGTCGTATTTTCATTTCGACGGGCCAAGTGGTTTTGAACGCTCGCACCAGGTGACTGAGGCATTTAACGACGCAGGTGCACTGACTATCCACGAGTGTCCGCGACAGCCCATGGTTCCGGTGTTGCTGCTACTGGGCGGCCTGCTGGCTCTCGTCAACGGGGTCGCCAACTTGGTGGCCCGCTCGGGCCGCCTCTACCCGACCGAAGACGAACGTCAAGAGCTGGGCGCCGCCACGGCTCTGCTCAACGTGGCGCTCTTCTTCGTCTTCATTGCCGGTCGGTCCTATTATTAGGATGGGCTTGATACACCGATTTTTCTCGTTCAGGCCATTTTTGTGCACGATCGTCCACTATAGGACACCTAACGCGCAAGCGGATTGTCAAAGCGGAGAAGCAGCGAGGACGCGCAGCTCTTCACGTTGCCTTCTGCCTTTTCAGCCGAATCCCCGGCGGACATCATCTTGCGGCACTTCTCGAGGCCTGATTGGCTGCGGCCAACTTTTCTGCGCGGAGAAAATTGGTCCGGGCGCGATGCGGACACAGGGGTTTTACGTCGTTGCGGCGCTTTCTAGACCCGCGCGCGGTGTGAACGTGCGGCAGAGTTGTCAGGTGCCACCGAGCAAACAAGCCACTTTAAAACAAGCCTTTAAAAAGCGGCGGCGCTTCTCCGAATAAGCGCAAAGTAGGCGGAAGTTAAACATATGTTCATATTCTTGAAAATTGCGTGTAGTAGAGAAAAAAATACTGCGAATACGTCTGGAAATGCTAATATTGCACTTGCAATATTTTAATGCAGCTTATCTATCGTCTCCGGTGACTGGACGAAACCAGTTCTTTAGCTGCGGCTCCTTTTCTCACTCTTTACAATACTTCTTGTAGTACTCCACTACGACGACACGAAAACACACTAGCAAGGAACACACGGACTAGCGCACACTAACAACTGATCTTTATCCACTAAAAAAACACAAAATACTCTTTTTCCGCACCTTATGAACACTGCGCATAAGATATTGGCATCATTCAGTCGTTCACACAAACTGATAAAACCTTTACCGTAGACGGTGTAATCTCACATTTTGTTCAAATTCAATTCCTTTATCATTCAGCGGAACCGAAACATCTCATGAGATGATGTCCTCATTACGTGAGGTGACGACACTGTTTTCCTCGCGTTGGGGGAGGAGAATAAGCGAGCGTCGATAAGCGGCCTCGAAGCGAAGGGTCTAAATTGGCGGTTGCTAACGGCGATGGAAACAGTGTTGTCACTGAGGGCGTTGTCATGGCCTCCGAGATTGCGGGCGCGTAGCGTGCTTCTCTCCAGCCATAGAGTTTCATACCCCTCATGGGAATTTTGGGAAGTACAGGCTTCGGATCGAATCGCGTTAACCAGCGAACTGTCTACGGATCTTTTTCTGCAGTTTCAGTTTCGTTCTCCGCGCAGACTCGGTAGTGGGGTGGGTGCAAAGAACTGAAGCTGTGCCTTTGTTGTTCAAAAAAGCTGAAAACTGCTAGGCCTCTGAATTTACTGCAACGCTGGAGCAGTATAAGAAGTCGTGTTTGGCAGTTTAAGTGAAGCGTGTTCTACTTACCGCTGCGCATAGATGTAGCGTCCCATGCCAGTGCAAGATATTGCATATAGTTCACGCTTGTTGTTAGTCCGCCTTGCTAAAACTCGTTGAAATCAACTACAAAACGACGGCGACGCGAAGTAGACGCACCGCCCCGCTCTTCTGACTCGACTTCCCAACAAAGCGGGAGGTGCGTTGGGGGCAGACCACTTGATCAGACGCACATGACATCGCAGCAGACGGCACGTTAAGTGTTTCTAACTTAATACTGTGCTGCTACTTTCATACACCAATATTGCGCGATTTCGAGGCCAAAACAAAAATATTTGTTTTGAAATGTTGTAAAGAATGATTCATAATATATTGATGCCAAATCTGGAACGCAATGGCAGAGCAATGCATACCTTGGTGGTTAAATTTTTCCAGGTTTCACTTCTACCGCCTAGTCACAAAAATCTTTTGCATTAAAGTTTGCGTGGCCACGAGAGACACGAGCGCTCGTGTCTTTCGTGTCCTTCTTGTCTCTGTGTCGTCGTTTTGTTCTCGCGCTATAGCTATCGTCATGCCATACCAACTAGCCCAAGCTGCCACACTTCATTGTCGAGGCCGCGCAGATGGCACGCGAACAGGTGCCTGTCCGAGAAGGAACTCAGGTTCCTCGAAGGTTCCGGTGCGCGCAAGTAGTTATATTATCTTTACTTTTCTGTTTCACTTTCTTATAGATTTTTCTTTGCCGTTTTTCTGTGCTTTTGTCTTTTTGTTTTCAACAATGACTCGGGTGCGCTCATCTCTGTGCTTGTACAGCGTCGCTGTGTCCTTGAAAAGGGGCACACAATTGTACTCAGTGCAGTGCTGAGCAAGAAAACCATCTTTCCCGTTTCTAACATTGTTAGCGTGTTCTCTCAGCCGATCGTTCAGACACCTTTCGGTCGTTCCGGCATAACAAGCACCGCATGAAAGGGGGGTCTTATAGACAACTTCTCGGGAGCATGCCGCATACCTGTTTCTATGTTGAACTCTGCATTCCGTTGATGACTGCGTTTTCAGGGGGTTTGTAGATTTTGGTGAGGCTGATTAATTTGAACGGCGCCGAGAACAGGACACCAACTCCAACGCGTTTCCTGATTTTTTTGAGCCTGTGTGATATCTGGTGTTTGTATGGAATCACGGCTATACTTTCTCCTAGCCTATAGGCTAGGATAGTTAGGCTATCCTAGCTCTCCTGGCCATTTCGATAATGGTAGCAATGCCAAACTTGGTGTGGCATAACATAACTGTATGAGGAACGTATTTGACTAGTCCTAACATGAAAATCGTGACATGTATGTCATTATTCTCATGATTTACATTTCATGGGCCTGCAGCTCTTGCGGTGGTTACTGCACATGACATGTTGCAAAACTAGTGTGGTATGACATGGTTACATGGCGAACACAAGCGACAGACCTTGACATGAAAATCATGACATGCGTGTCATGTAATAATATGACTACATGCCACGCTCATGATGCGCTCGTGGCCGTTTCACTAGCGTCACATATACCAAATTTGGTTTTACGGGACGTGAATGGATGATGAAGGTATGATACTGGTGCAAACATAATAAACATGACATGCGTGCCATGTAACAACATGACTACGTGCTACCTGTATCAACATGACTAAATGCCTTCCTGTGTCTTATGACCCTGCCTTTGTTATCATTAGAAATTAGAATAAAAAACTGAACCGAAAGACAGAGCGCGCGGTGCGGAGAAAAGAGCGGGCCACGCCCATCTCTGGAAGCAAGCGCTCTCCGTGCGATTGGGACGGCCCGCCATCTCGGAGGCCATGGCTTGTTTTCTGCCTACTACACACTGGTCTAGCACGACTTAACTACTTATTTGCCTCTATAGCTGATTTGTATACAAAAAGATAAAGAAGAAAGTAAATTTTCATGAACATTGACGCCATCTTTTGGCAGGGTGCGTATACGTCTATGGCAGCCTTTGGCCATCCTGGGAGCGTGCGAGTGGCGACTACTGTTCGCCGACGGCTTTCTACTTTTCCTTCTGGCTGCACACCGGCCTGTTCATCTTCCTGGGACTCCTGCTAGCCACCTCTCAGCTGGGGCTCCTATGCAAGCGCTGCTGAGATGAGCCCACCACTGTGTACACATCACCAGAATTTCACTGCAATAAATTGATGCTTTCATCAGCGGCTTGAGGTGCGCTTCATCAGCACCTACTCTGTGGAAGAGAGAAACAAATCGTGGCATTTCTACGACGTGAACGATGATTAGTGGGCGAAGCAGCGGCATCGTTCGGTGTTACCGCAATAACTGCTCACGCATGTAAATGAGTGACAAAGCGCGCTACAGTTACATAGAATGTTTATTAATCATAGATGGCATGCTGTGTTGAGTTGTGAATTTTGTTTTGCCTTCCTTATTACTGTTTTGTGGTATCGGATCTAGCCTGAATTAGGTTGGTAAAGACGAGGTCTGGTTTCGCTCTCAGGTGAAAATGGGATGCGAGTTCCCAGCTGTAAATTGCATTGGCACACTGAATTTTAGCTGGAAACTGCTAATCAGGCAGGGAATTTCCCATTTTCGGCTGGAAGTGCCTTTTGCGGCTGGGAATGAAACCATTGCAGGCTAGGAATCGTATTTCCAGGCTAGAAATGGAAGTGATTCACGACTGGAAATATAAATTCTAAACTGGCCCTGGAAATCGCTGGAAAGCTTCAACCTGTAAATGGTTTTTCAGTCGGGTATCATTTCCATTTCAAGTTTGAAGTTTTGCAGTCCCAGTTTGGAAGTGATATTTCCAGCTGAGAATTTTTTCATCTTCAGTTGGGAAATAATTGGCTTGATTAGTACATTTTTCTGGTTGAGAGTAGTTAGTTGAAAAAATATATTCCCAAGAATTGGAGACATCTGACTGTGGCGCCATCTCTCGGCGGCAGGAACGGCAGCCTGCCTTAACTGAATGAGAAATAGGTGACAAAATTATATCTCTCAAAAAAAAAAAAAAAACTCGTCATCAAAAACGACTTCCGGTTATATGTAGCAGAGACCCGCTGGTACATTTTGGTAAAACTGAAGTATTGTACCATAAAGCGTGTGGATTCCCAGGACGATTTATTCAACAGCCCCCAGAAAAACACATGGGATACCATTGTTAAACATAAAACACCCTGAGAAGCCACGCGGTTTGTAGTGAGACACCGTAACTTTGCTCGACTGTTCAAGTAAGTCTTTCCTGTATTTCATAAGTCTTTGCTACCTTTTGTTCGTCAGTAATGATTTTTCTCGCTTATTTCAAATTCAGTTACGGCAGGCCGCCACTTTGGTTGACGAGAGTTTGCGCTGCGTGAAGATGTCTCCTAGAGTCACTGCATATATGTGCTCTCTACAGAAGCAGAGTTATTGTGGCCAGAAGGGGAGCAACAGCGGCTACACCGGCATGTGATGTCAGCAGTGGCGGCGCTGCCATCACAGCTTAGATCGGCCGGGCGCCGCGGATGCCCTGCTGCGAAGCTTGCAGGCGCATGGCGATCGAGGTGGTAGGAAGCTCAAGAGCTTTCAAACAATGAATTTTAACGTGCTAGCGTTTAAGAGCTCATTTCGCTGAAATTTCGACGCTGAGTCGGCGTTGCAGTTAACGTCAGCGCTTGTGAGCGAAAAATAATTATCAGTGCGTGACCGAGAAATTGAGAAATAAAGAAAATAAGATCAATGCTTATAATTTCCGTGTCCTCGTGAGGGTTGAACCCGGGCCGTTGACGTGGAAAAGAGGTGTTTTACCACACAGCCATGCGTCTGCTCGGACATGCAGTGAAAATAGCGTTCACGCTTTAGAAACACACGAGTGCTGTACACGTCAGGTTTCACAATGCAACACGTAATATCACCGTAACGCTACGTGGTACAAGCGGGCATTGCCATCGGGCGTCAGAACATGTGATTATCAAAAGGACTTCGTGACTTGAAGCCAGGCATCCATTACGAACGACACACTCATTACTGCACGTATTCCCCTAAGTACACGTAGTGGGTGCATAGCAAGATTGAAATGATTCCATGCGTATACTTGCTCGTTTTTTAAAGCATGCTACCCATTACAAAGAATGCAGCCATATTCGAAAGCTTCAATGACACAAATCACTTTCAACACTGACGATTACATTGTAGCAATCTACAGTTTCAACTTCTCACATAAGATCATATACAATAAAGTAATATTCCCTAAGTGGTCGAAGTACGCACTAGGGACAGGCTATCTCTATCGCGTTCAACTCTTAAAAGTGAAGCTAAAGGATCTCCCCAATCGTTTATGTGGAATCTGGATCTGCATTTTAACACGTGCAGTCAACTTTGCACAGAATTCAGCAAGGCCAAAACAATGAGCTACTCTGCCACACAGCCGTAGAAGGGAGCATGTTTCGCGATTACACTGTGTGTAAATTTATGCGTGTCGTCTCAAACATAGGCGCACGAGTCTGTCTCTCAATTGCGAAATGACATGATCTACGTGAACCGTTTAAATACTATGCAGCTTTTAGCGACAGTATACCTTCTTACTCACTTTGCAGTTGTTTACTTTTCGTCTGTCAGATGGAAGTTACAGGTTTGGTTGATTTTCTTCATCGCGAGTATTTATTCTTGTACATCGCAAATGTCATGGAGGAGGCAGTTCAAAACTGATAAACGCCACGAAGCTTTAAATCGCCCTTTCACTGACGCTGCTTGCTTTCTCGTGCCACGTTTTCCGTCTTTACTATTAAATGCAGCCTTGTGAATACATAAAACTTGATCAGGCTGTTGGTTAAACCTGTGGAATGTTGTTCACAGCCAACACAGGTAAGTTTATTTTTTCGTTAGTGCTGAAATCAAGCTCATTACGCTATTTGCTCTCAGTTTGTTGAAGCTAAAGTAGTGTGTGAACGAGTATTTCAACTTTGCAGGCTTGCTCATCGTTATTGAAGCCATGGCAATGGTTTACAACTTCGCCAACGACAGCACAAACGTAGCAACGGAGGCGCATGCGGTACGCCATACACGTGCTACAACGCTTCTGACCGGAGAGAGCGATCTAAGGAGCTACGCGTGCGCCCCCTCTAGTTGACATTAACAACTGCTACGCCCTTTGCACGGCCTCCAAAATGGCAAACGCGCGGCGTGTTTCTCTCCGGCTGTTCCAATCCACTGATCTCCACTAGTATAGTTAGGCTAGAGTGAACTATAAGAGGGCAGTGGGCTTACTCCGCCGCTACTCTGACGCATTTGGTATCACATAGGAGAGGTGGCGCGACAAGCACCTTCAATGGAAGCTTTACCTGCAGAAGCTGCTCGCCGATGGCCGCTCGTTAAAGTTGGAACGTGCATTTATTCTGTATTTGTAATAGACTTGCATGCTTTGACTACCCCCTGATTATATTAAGAGCTTCTGGTGCTCTCGCTTCACAGTGTTTCCCTTTTATTTTGCGATACAGCTTCCCGAAAATCGGTCCGACGCCAGCCGGCGCAGTCTGTGCATTCTCCTTTCTAGTGCGACGCAGTTAACGCTGTGTGTGTGTGTGTGTGTGTGTGTGTGTGTGTGTGTGTGTGTGTGTGGGGGGGGGGGGGGGGGGGTTTCGGAGGGCGTGTGCTTGAGTTAGTTGAGTATTCCTAATAAGCACTATAATCGTTCTGGCTACATCGTGTTTCCTCGAATATAACACCTGGTCGAAAAGGTTGATGTATCCCACAAATTATATGGTTTGATACAGCGACCAAACTTACGGTTCATGCTGCGTAGACCGAACCTAAAAAAAATTCGTAACAAGATTATGCCCGCCCTTTCACGACATAATTAGAAAACAGTGCACGTTCACTTCCTAGAAAAGCTTTAGCATGCAAGCGTGCTGGCTGGGTTTGCGCCTTTATTATAAAGTGAAACTGTAGTGCTTAAATAATTTTTGTTCTGCTTCAGTTGTAGACCATGGCACAACAGTTTTTTGGGGGTTAATAATAATCATAATTATGCAGATACACATATGTTAGACATGTGTAGAGCGACATAGTAAAAAACTAAATAAAGATACACACGAAGCTTCTGCTCCTGACACGAAGCTTTTATTTGCAAGAACTGAAGTACACCATGTAGCCACTGATTTACACACCTTATTCACTTCATGTCTGACGGGTCATCTTCAGCTGCTTGGCCCTCTGCCGCTTCCCTGTCTTATCAGTGTTCAGTACTTTCACAATGAACGAAATCGTGTGACAACGTAAAAAGTAATTACTTTCGCTGTGAGAGTAGCTGCGTGCACACTGCAACCAACTTGAATCGAGAGTCAGCGATCAACAATTGCCAGCATGTCCATAATGCTGCCAGAGTGCAGCTTACTCTGGCAAAAACATTCTGTGAAAACATCCTCGAGCTTTTTCATGAAGCTGTACAGCTGACTTGAGGGATGAAGGAGGCCTCCTCGGTCACAAAATTTGGTCAGCCGAACAAGTTGAAAACAGCCTCGGTGTGAATAATGCGTGAGGTATGCCCACTTTTTTCCATCCATAATATGCACATGGTCCTTAAGCTAAAGACACGGTTGCAAGTGGAGTTCGCAAACTGCGTTGGTGTCTTCCAGAAGTGTGTCCGCTCTGTGCTGGTTCTTCTTGCATTCTTTCGACCTGTTTTCATCCTTCAGGATGCCAAACAATGACAGGTCCTGCTTACTATTCACGAACACGTTGCCTGTTTGACACCCAAGCGCCTAACAGTGGTTTTGCCTTTGTCACGACGTGGTTACAGTATGCACTGTAAAGCATACTGTCATCTTGCTAGATGCGTAACGCTCAAAGCTGACGGCAAAATCTCGGCGCAACAATGTCCACATCCACTCAACGTGGCTCAAACTCTGTTGCTCTGCACGACTTGACCGGCTCAGCTGCAACGTCCCTCCCAAACTTCTTCCATTGATGGCGATGCCAGCGCCGCCGCTCGTGCGACCACAGAACCACAAACGTGTGACACTTCTGGAACGTAATTTGTCAAAATGGTTGATTGGGCGAGTTGGTGATACATGACTAATTATGAAATGGAAGCGCACAACGTAGAAGCAGACGGAAAGACAGGGACAAGCGCTAACTACCAACTGAAAGTTTATTCGGAAAAAATATGAAATATATACTAAAAGATGATACAGTGTCAAGGCACATACGATAACACCAAAGCACAGACCAAAAATGGCAACACCGATAGAATATCTTAGTGC